AGAACCGTTACCTCTATTTAAATATAGATACTACATTCACTTATTGATGTTCCTATCAATAAAGACCTCATATTGCAAAACATATGAGTCAGTAATTCGAGAATTTGGTTTTTTTCTGATGGCCTGTTCGTTAACCTGTTCCTTCATTGAGTCCCTCTGCGGATGCGAGTTTGGGTCTCAACGTTTTGAAAAGCATATTCTGAAGATGAACAAGAAACACTGTAAAAAAAGTGAAACTGGCTTTTCTGGGGGCATGTGCACCATTTTGTTTTAAGATGGTTTTGCCAATGCTAGCAGCACTGCTCAAGAGTTTTCTTTGGATCTCTGTAAGACTATCCATTTTATCCTTCAGTATTGGTCTAGAGGGTGGAATAAGCTCGAGATTTAGTTGAAGTCTTAAATATGTATGCAGATGTTCACACCTTTCAATACTATTGCAGTATGCTTCCTTGAACTGAGAAATATTCTTTGTTACCTAAATGTTGTAAATATTAAATTGGTCTTGTTTCATCATGGACACAAAAAAAAGGGATTTCAAAACTTGGCACAGAATATTTTAAAAATGCATGAGAAAAAATAATGGTACAGACTGTCTAATGACCTGATAGATAATGATGTCTTTGTTACCCGCAATTTCAACTGAAAGTGAAGTAATTACAGAGAATAATATTTAGCGGATAGGTCTGAGCCCCTGCAGTCCCAGAACTGAATCATTGCCCTTTTTCAGTGACATAGATTGTAGTTTGATGTGGCTATTCACATTTTTACATTTCTGTGGGTTTTAGTGTCTTCCACAGAGTTTGGTGGTGTCTGAACATCATAGTACAGAAATGCTGCTTACACTACCTTTAAACTTTGGAAGGATCTGCGTTTGTACATATTGGCAGCTTTATCCTGTAAATTAGTAAATGCAGAAGTTAACTAGTGGTGATTACTGTCTGTGCTATACCACTCTTTCTCAATTGTATTTCTTCCTCTTCTGAACAGAATATTTGGTTTGTAATGAGCTTAGGTGGGCGACCATTGCATTTTTCTGTGTATCTGTGCTTGATGCACTGGTTCTGCCGTTATGCTGCAGATCAGAATTTAGCGGCAGAGCCAGAGGCTGATGTTCCACTACTGACTATCAATGGAAGAAAGTCTTTCTTACCTCTCCCCAGCACTAGCACAGCTGAGTGTTGCCTCAGTAGAACTCTGGGAACTACTATTTGAATTCCAGAATTATTTCCCAGGCTTCTTGTTATATTATTGGTGTCGCTCCTTCTTAAAGAGTTCATAGTTGCTTGTTCCTCTGTAGCTGGGCAATAGTGGCATTCCAGTGTCTTTTACTAAGATGCTAGATCTTAGGGATTTAAATACCTTTTGGAAAATGGTATTTAAGTGCATGTGAAATTTTACTTAGACTTTCTTATGTAAAGCCCTGCTCGTTGTGCTCCCTTCCTTACAGTGTGTCGACAGAGAGAGACATTTCTCTTCCAAATCTTTGGACTTTTATCTCTGAAAATCTAATATTTGTAATTGTCCTAACAAGCATCAGATCCACAAAACATGTCCTGTTTGGAAAGAAAGAAAATAATAAATATGCTTATATATGGTTGGCTAGGAGATCAACCTCATTTCTTATAAGCAGGAAAATGCGTGTATTAGAGTGGACCCCAGTATAAAATTCTTTCGCAGATTCAAACTCTTGTAGTTATGACATAAATGCATGTTTCAAAAGATGGAAAGGAACGATGAGGCCTAAGAACAAAATTTCCAGAACGAATCTGCAACCTTCATCCCTTCCATTGATTTGCTTGCTTTTTCATTCGTACGTATTGAGCACTCTTCCCACTTTGAAGTAATGCAACTGTCCCTAGCTCATGCCAATAAATATTTTACATTGGACGGTTACTGCATAGATATGGCATGTGAAATTAAGTTTCTTAAAGAAACATTAATCCAATTACCTTTTCCTCATGCGGGTCTTATATTACGAAGACTTTACAATATGTACAGTAGTATGTTAGACAGGATATTTAAGAATATGAAGTGAAAAATATGTACAAAATAACCAGAAAACATTAACATCGGCATTTGCCTTTATTTCAGTTGTACAACCTAAAGGTAGTATTAACACATGATTATGCATTTAACTTTCTAGTTTGATTAAAAACATTTGTATGTGCTTATTCATAGTTTAAGTGGTTCCAATTGGCTCATGAAGTCTTTCACTTCAGTGACGCAAATGGGATGTGGTAGACTTGAGTTCCAGCCTTCACTGCTCATTTCACTTTGACCGATGAGTTTTCTGCAAGCCTGGGTTAACAAGGCTCATAGATACTAGTTTATAGAGTAGGGCTATATAATTTTTTAAATTAGCCTTTTAGAATTGATAGCTTGTTGATATTACACAGTGTTACCATTATTGAAACAGTCTCTAGAGTTGTAAGGCTTAATTTATTAGCCTTCATTCAAAATATTTGAGAAATTAATTAGTGAAAGCTGTTCAGAAAGGATTTTAGATGTCATTCAGCTCTACTAAAACTGAAGCATATTCCAGCTTCCAAGTTGTTTTTTTTTCAGTTGCTTATAACTTTTGTTTTTAGTGATCCCAGCAGCCAAGGAGGGATGCAGAGGAGATATGATCTTGCCAAATTTCTTTTGGCTCTTTAAAATGTAATTTTGTTCAAAACGTGTTTGGAATTGCATTACAAATTTAAAAAAAAAAAAAAAAGACAAAGCATAGTATCTGCACTAGTACAATTTAAGAAGGGTTGAAATTACTTTCTTACTGTGTAGCAATCACTCCCAGCAGTTGGTGAAAAAAATAACCTGAAGAGTTTCTTTCCTCTCTGTTCTTTCTATTCACACTTACACTGGTTGAAACCTTTTGCTAACTCAGCTGACATGCCGGCATTTTCAAAGACGTTGTGGGAATGTCATCCACTTGCAGAACAGTGTGAATAGCTTCAGAGTGTGACCTGTTGTGTGCGCAGGGGAATGCGTCACTCTTGAAGCATTGCTACCTTAGGGAGGCAGCTTGGCAGTAGTTAAAATGGCCAGTGATGCTACAAAATTTACAGTGGCAAATGAAGAATGTTATACATGATTGAAACAGGAGGGTTATTTAGATAGGCATAATATACTGTAGTTACTGACGTATAAATGACTGTGAAAGAAAGGCCCAGATTTTTCTCAAGCTGTGTCTGCTATATACCATACGTTGTATTTAAAGGAGACAGAATCGTGGTAAACAATCGTAGGCAGCTCACTGCAGAAGGTGAGGATGTATGGGAGATAGGGAGCCAGTGAAATGACCAGGTGGACTTTCTGGAGAATGGGGGTTGTGGCAGGAAGGAAGGAAGCTGCCCCACACCGTTGGGAGTTACTTGCTGCTATTTTGGTCGCTTGGGAATACTGGCAGTTGGCAGAAGCTAAAAGTGGCCTTAACCCCTGCAAGCTAACACTGCTTTAGTCGTCTTTGCTCTTGTCCGGAGTACCTTCGCTTTTCAAAGTAATTAATAATCAAGACCCGGCAGTAAACACTCATTTTTTTTAGAAACCGGTCCTAGCTGAAAGGTGATGCATTCCACAAACACAGTGCTTCTGGTCTCAGCATGGACGATGAGCTCGCTCCTGTCTCAGAGGAACAGGACCATAGTTTCCTGGCTTGCCAAGTCTGTTCCGCAACTATTCCCAGCAACGATATCATATAATTCTGTTCTGAAACCGAACAAGTTTTATCTAAAACAAGGTTTAAAAAACTCACCCTCACAACTCAGCTTAAAAGGCTGAAAACTATCTAACTTTAGCTTGCATATATTTAGGGCAGTTTGCAAAACCAGAGTTTGTTGGTGTTGAGTATAACCCGCTCTGTGACCCTGCTTAGCGAAGGAAATCTGGTGAGATCTTACCCTGGAGTCATAATAGTAGTTTCCCTCTTTCTGGTTTCATTTGGTCTCCCAGGGAGAAGTAATAGTCTCCCATGTGACAGTGGGAGGAGGAGATGTTCACCTTAAGGACACGCATTGAAAATAAATCCAAAACACATTTCCTTGCACATAACCCAGCTCTTTACATTGAAATTACCCTTTGGATTGTAGAGTGGTTGCAGAAAGTCTGTGAGCAAGTCTGGGGCTACTAAGACCATCAAATGGCTTATGCTGTTCTTGAGGTTCGTTTCAGTAGAAGGTGCAGGAAATATAGATTTAATTCTTTTATTCAAACTCAGTAGATGGTTTGGGACAATTAATTTCCAATTGTTTCCCAGTAGAGCAGATTTACTTGTATATTAATGAGGCACAGGTGTTAGGCCCCTGGTGCCTGCATGCCTGGGAGGCATATTTAGGTTGTTTATCTAGTCAGCCATAGGTACTGCAAGGTACTCAAGCTTGCCTTTAACAGTTTATACAGTGAGGCTTTTTAATTTTTTGATGTTTTTTTAAATTTGCTAGCACCTGTTAAAATTTTAAAACTGATCATGTAGAAAGAAGAAGGAGTGATTTCAATAGTAAATAGCACTAAATGTTAAAGAAAGTCATCTTCTATTATGCTTAACTGCCCAGCTTGACATTAAGAAGAAAAGAAGGTTCATTTAAGCAAATACATCATGTGAGGAACTAATACAGTCAACAGTATACTTTTCTGTTGCATATTTTTGGAATAGGTACTTCTTTGTCTACAGCTGAAACGTGAATGTGCTTCTATTAATATTCATTTTTCTTGTTTATTCACTGAACTGCAGTACCAACATTTTAGAGGAAATGGAATAGCCTCCATAGACATTATGAATTTCAGTAGCTGGCATAATTATAGCGATCTACATATTCATTAAATCCAAAGAAGAAATGTGTCCAAAAAGACAGCCATGCGTTCAGAAATGGTACACAACTAAATATATACATTAAAAAAAAGTTCCTTTCTTCTGCTTATCCAAAATTGTGTAGTGTCATATAGTCCTTAAATCAGCTAAGGCTTTTTGTTGTTTAAACGTTCATTGCTTTTGCTTTTGCACGCAGCAAAGAATGGGAAGAACTATTTGTAAACAACAATTACTTGGCAACTATACGGCTGAAGGGGATTAATGGGCAGCTGAGAAGCAGCAGGTTCCGTAGTGTTTGCTGGAAGGTAAGAAGAGAAAATATTTATTTACAGTTTGTGGTTGCAATATATCAACACATTACCTGATGCGCTGGAAGATTATTGATGCAAAGAATCATGAATTTTCCGAGAGACTTCATCCCAATGTTTTGCTGCTCATTTTTATAATTCATAGGACATTTGCTAATCATATTGAGTTGCCTTAAAGCTGAATTGCGGGTGATGGCAAAAGATTCCTAGGAAAGAATATCTTTGTGCTGGGTGGTGTGTTGAAAATTGAGTGCTACACAGCTATCTCTCCTCTCAGCCTCCGTGCAGTGAAGTCATACACTGGAAATAAAAAGGAAGTTTGTCTCACAATTTAGGCTTTGTGGAACTCGAGACTCCTTTAAAATCAGTCTGATGCTTTGGCTAGCAGCTTTTCCCAGTGAAATGAGAAAATGAAGACCAGTGCCTCTTGTAATGACTGGGTAGAGAGGGAAGCCAGGTCTTCCAATCTTAAAACACAACAGGTCCTCAGAGGTCTCTTACTGTATGTTTTAAAGTTGCAGGGGAAGGAAAAGAGAAAGAAAGCAAAGTAATACTGGGATGCTATATAAAGTCCAAAAGAATTTGTTGCACTGGCATCAGGTCATCTGTTCTGCACTAACTATGATAATAGAGAACATTTTCCCTAGTAGAGTTGCTGTAGTTTAGCGCTGATAATTTAAATTACCTCACTTGGAATTTCCGAAGCTTCACTTTGGCACAAAGACCTATAAAAAGAAAATGAAAATATTGTTTGTCTATAAATGAAATAAATTTGAAAACTGAAAATTGAAATTTGCAATGTATGTAGTATCAAACAAATTTAAAGCTAATGAAAATACTTTCTTCAGGAGACCATATGAATATATGCCACAAGCATGGTTTTACTAGTCTGCTTCTTCTTGAACCTCTAAATTAGGATGCCATCATTCAAAACCCTGAACTAACAAAAGCATCCAGTTTTTCACTGTTCTTTAATTAAGTCAAGGAATGGTTTTATTTTAAAAATAAGGCTGTTTTTATTTGCGTGTCCCAGTATGGGATAGTGCTCTGTTTTAGACTGCCTATTTTAAAAATATTATCTGTGTTTTTGTTAAGTTCTGAAATATCTAACTATTTTTAGTAATTTGAGAATTTTTTTGTCAGTATTTACTGTTTCTTAACACTTTATAATGTGTAAATAAAAACATTTAAAAAGCAAGAAAATATTCTGGTTTTCCCCTTACTTTATATGCAATTAAATAGTATTTTCTAATCAGTGTTTCTTTCTAACCCTTTTTAAACAGAAATGTGAAAGAAGTGAGATGTAGGCATTCTCAATGACTTTTTGCAAAATCGCCTCTTTTAACTGTCTTGCAGAATTCTAGAATGTTTCTTTTCTATAGATTAAAATTTTCCCTTTTCCACATTTCTTAGGTAGACTACATCTCTGAGTGCTTAGTTTCTGCTCTGCATTCATGTTCTGTTTTAAGCATGTTGCATTAGGTCATCAGTGTTATGTAAATAGCTTCAAGTTTTGTGTTTTTATTTTCATCTCTTTGCATTTTGTTTCTGCCATGGAAATCTCAATCAGCTTCACTGAATTTATGACAGTTTACAAAGCCTGAGTTTGTGGCTTCAGTTCTTTTTAATGCCTTAGTTTGTACTGTGGAGCTCCTGTTGTTTCTAGCTTCTTATTTATTGACGGGAAAGTACTAAAGCCAGGAGCATTTTATAGGTCTTTGCTTTCTTTTTACGTGTAGAGTACTTGCTCCTCCTTTGTGAGATGGTTTATGTTGTCTGGTAGTATTTATATGATACGTTAAATTGATCAAGCTTAATGAATTTGTTTTGTTTTGTGGATAGTTATTTCTGGAGGTTCTACCCCAAGACAGAAGTCAATGGATTAAAACCACTTCAGACTTAAGAACTTCTTACAATAAGATCAAAGAAATTGTAAGTTGGTACACAATAGCTTCTGTACTTTCATGCTTTGACATAGATGTTAATACTTATAGTATAACAGAAGAGGATATGATTTTTTTCTGGTTTTACACAGCACATTACAAACCCTCGGAAAGCAGGACAGCAAGATCTGATAATCAACAACCCACTCTCTCAGGACGAGGGGGTAAGTTGACTCTTGGTTCTGTCAACACATGTGCTACTACAATTATCATCATACTGACACAAGTGAGTTCTTGCTGAAGAAGGCAAAATGGCAGGTGCTAAGACCTCCCTCCTAAATTTCCAAACTGACTTGTGTTAATAATTGGTTCACAGGCTCTGCTGAACAAGCAGAAATGCTCATTTCCAGGTTAATATTCTGTTTTTTCAGGGCTTATCGCAGGGAAGGCTGTGATGAACAAAAAATCGGTGCTGGACTGTAAGTCCAGTTTCACAGCATATCCTTTCTTTAACTGATATACTTTTTTATCGCTGTGTGTTTTCATTTTACATGTAAAATGGCTCTACTTGAAGGAGTGTTTAAACAGTCAATGTGAAGGGAATGCTGTTAACAGCAAATACTGAAGAACCCTCCTCAGGAAGACTGTTCAGCCTTGGAAGTTTTTCTCCAGCTAAACCAGAATTGTTCTGTGTCTGAGTTATGTGTTGAGTTAATGTATAAAGTGCCAGGCTGCAAGATAGGCATTTCTTCCAAGGTTTTTAATTCTTTTTCTTTATAGTTAAAAGAAACAAAAGTTTCTTTTCTAATTAGAAAGCAGCCAGCTGCAAAATGAAAGATCCAGATTTTAAAGAAATACTGAAAATGTGGTAAAAGTATTTGGCCTGACTGTCATTAAGTGCAGAGCATCCAGCTCTCATTGAAATCAATAGGACCTAGTAGCTTGGTATTTTTGAAGTCATGACACTTTGAGGAGGGCTTACATGTAGATTTGGGAGCTTAATTTTGGGCAACTTTTTTTTTTTTTTTTTAAACTGATTTTCTACTGCATTTTGTTGTACCTGAAAAGCTCTTAAGTATTTTATATCACATATCTTTAAGCTTTTCTGTTAATTATATTACCATTTTTGAAAATTCTTTTTTATAAAATTTTCAAAATAATACCATGAAAGTAATGTGTTTGTCTGCATTTAAGAGATTCACACCTGGAAAGACAGGTATCTTTGGTGGTACTGCTTGTACTTCCATTTAGTTCACAAACAGAAGCCCATCTTTTGTTTGTAGTGTGGTACTCTGCTTCGTATTTAACATAGAAGGAGAGAGAGATTTTCTTGTTGAAACATGGAAGTATTGACCATAGGCACATTGGTGGCTCTGCAGTCAGTATGACTGTGCGTGCCATCAAACCATTCTTGCATCCAGCTGGACAGAAAATTGTGTCAAATGTAAAAGATTTAAAGTGTTTCTGTTGTAGTTTGTGATTAGACACAGTGGCACAACCTTCTTTCTGCCTATGATGTCTTTAGGAGATAGAGGACAAAGGTTAACATGTCAGAGTATGTGGCAGGGGATTAATCTATAAAACAAAGCCACGGACCAAATCAGGCATAGGAATGAAGAGCGAAATGCATTTGAGCCTCTGCAATGACTTAATGTTTTATCACTTCAGTGTCCTGGGTTTTGCTTCCTTTTCACAATGCAGATTCTGTTTCCTTTGTTCTTTGCTCTGATGGACCAGGGTGGGAGCAGGGGCAGGGGAGTTGCAAAGTGTGATCCAGCTGCATGAAAAGAGCTGTGAGTTAAAATGATAATAGTTTTACGTAAGACATTGTCATGGATATAAATACTTCTAAAGTTTGGGGGTTTTTTTTTCATAGTTTGTAACACAAATATAGAAGCTAATTAACATTTTCTTTTTCATTATTTTACCTTCCTTCTGCTAGATAACATTAATTTACTTTCTCTTTTCTTCCTGTGGAGCATAAGCCACCATGGCAATGAATTGTTTACAGGGGAGCAAGAAATTCTGGAAGTATTGTAGCCACTCTCTTTGTACAGTATTTCATTCACTGGTGCTGCTGCTATCTGAAAACTTAATATGCATGAAAAGACTGGTGTAGATTTTGTTCCTTCTGTGTTTTTATCAATATGGCCAAGCTACCATCCCTTTACAATAAAGAATAGGCTTTACAATACTTTTCCTGGAGCATACAAACAACAGCATTGGTTGACTTCTTTCAGGTTAGCTTTTGCAAAGTATTGGTAAACAAGGCGTGGAAACCGAAGAAAGAGAATGAAGATGGTCATAAGTACAGATACAGAAGAAGCTAAACCTACTTCAAACTCCTCTATTTACCTTTTTTTTTTTTTAATGTTGACAATGAGCTTTAAATACCCTGATTTTCCCTATCAAAACTTTTTTAGAATGACCAGTCTTGATCTGCACTGTGTATACATACCATTAGAACAATGTAATTTTCATAGTAGGTATTTGATCATCATACATGCCTTATTCGATTTTGCCTCCACTAAGACAAACTAGCTTACTTCCAAACAATTTCTTAGTATGGAAACTATAGCAGCTTCCTATTAAAGTCCATACATCCAGAGGAGAAGTGTAGTACAGTACGGTGATATAGACCTTTTTCCATGAGTGAACTACAGAATTTTTTTCAGTTGAGCCTCTGATTCTGATAAGTTTGAATTTACTCTGCCTTTCTAAATTTTCTTCGTAGACCCCTTAAAGTAACTCACAGATCTGCAGCCATCCAGTGAGCAAATGGAGTGAGTCTAGAACAAGGATCCAGGAACTGGAATATTTTAATCTCTGATCTAAACTGACTTTCTCAGATACGTTGGTCTGATCACCAACATTCTTTTTCACCCATAAAATATTGATGTACCTATCTACCAGGAATGTTGAGGATCAATTAGTTAATATTTGTACAGTACTTTTCTGATGTACTATATAAACCTTAAGTATTATTAGAAGTCTCTGTTTCATACAATTATTTTTCCTTATTTCAGAGTCTTTGGAATAAATTTTTCCAGGATAAAGAGCTTCGAGCAATGATTGAACAAGATGTGACAAGAACGTATGTAGATCTTTAAAGAAATTTATATATATAAATTTAGATTCTATGTTTTTATGTGGTATACATTATATTGTGTTTTCATGACTTTGGTTAGTGTAAATGTCAGGATTATTGAACATCAGTGTGTAGAAACATACATTAAATGTGTAAAAATACAGCTTTCTTGGAGTGAAAAACAAGAAAATCGAGTTAAACATTAAACCGTGGAGATTTATTGGTATCATTGAAGAAAAGCTCTTCTAAATTAAGATATTAGGAAATGTATTACTATGTGAAATTTAAAATAGTTTTCCATGTGTAGCAAAGAGAAGGTAAGAGAAACTGAAAGGTGTTTTAACTAAATTATGATCATAATAGATTGGACAGATTACTTTCTTTAATTCTTAGCACTTAATCAATAATAAAAAAAGCAGTTTGTAATTAGTAAGGGAAATGTCACTCATATAGAGAAAGTTAAGCATCTCTATTTTTATTTATCACTTTTCTAGTGTTATTTGTCACATATGCCTTTTAAAGTTTGTCCTAATGTTACTGTGATTATGTTTTCATCTTCTTGGCCCTTAGGTCATTCCTGTTTAGAAACTTGTTTGAGTTAGAACACTCACTTCCTGAAAACATTTCTTTTCAGAGTAGAAGCATTGACTGATGTGTAAATCTAATTAAATTCAATTACTGGTTTTCTACCATGTGAAATTTTAGTGTATTGCAAATATTTTTCCTTATAACTTGAAAAAAGTGGTGATAGTCATAGATTTTACAAATCCCAAGCTCACACGTCTTCATTTACAGAAACAAAGTCATGCAGAAGAAATCATTGCTGTCTAGTTTTGGAATATTTTATATGTCCGTCCCTAGACCCATTCTTGAATGCATTTTGCCATGAGATGTATAATTAAAATCTGAGTATGCTTTCATGTGCATTCTCACAACAGATGGTATTTTTCGTTTGTGAAAGGAAACAGTTCAGGATGTTCTAAGATTAAAATATATACGTATCTAAACTATAATGGGAGAATAAAAAGTTGTATGGAGGTTACGTTGGATGTAAGACTATTATTTTAAAAAAAAAATATATATACACACACAAGGTCCAGGCTCTCACTCTGGCAAATGGCAGAGTGAGTAGTATTCACTAATATTAGTAATAGTGACTAAAGAAATTTCCATCTATGTATTTATACAAAATAATGTCTACTTGAAACAATAGCAGCATACATTATGTGTCATCAATATCAAAATAAGTCAAACAATGAAGGAGCAAAATTTATCAAAGTAACATGAGTTTATTTGATAAAGTACACGCATTTATATATACACTTGTTGTTTGCCTAATCATAAAGCATAGTGTGCATTTTATGTATACATATGTATCTGTTTGTAAACTATCATTGTTGTAAGAAGCACTAAGTTCTACATTCCTTGGCTTTGGAGTGCAAGTACCCTCTCTTTAATGTTTTCCTTTTCATTTCAATTCTTTAAATAATTACTGGAGTTACAATTAAAAAATTTGTCATTAACTTGCAATGCTGTTTATTAAAGGTTAAAATAATTGAGTATTATATTCAGTTACCATAATCATCACTTTCTAGCTTCTGTTTCTTATTTAACAAATATTGTTATATTCTTTGTCATCCAGCTCAGTACTCCGGCATCCAACAGCATAAAGTAAATAATGCTGTAGAGAGTGATGCTAACTGTTCACAGAGTAGCAAACCAGAGGCTTTTCTATCAAAGCAGTAAAAAATTTATAGTGGTTTTATTAGAATTCTCTGAAGTGTAGTAGTAATAGATGGGAAAAGTAGGTAGAAATACGCTTTGAAAATTGGTATTGTTTTAAATTGTTTTACATTTGAGAATTCTGTTACCTAAAGGGAACTGTGATAAAGTGTGTGTGTGTGTGTGTTCATATGCATTTTGTGAACACTTATCTCACCTAATAATTAGATTTGTAAAACCTAGATGCTCACACATGGGCTAATCATCCTTTGGAGTCTATGTACCTGAAGAATTCTAGGACACAAATCGTCTCTTCCTAAAGTAAATGTCTAGTATAGGTCTGATGAATCACACTATAGAGAAGTATGTTTTTCTTCAGTAATTATCAAAGGCTTCTAGCTTGCCTGTACCTAACTAAACTGTAGTCACCTAGGGTCAGATGAGAGTCATCTAAGCCATAATATCTAAATACAGCTTTTTGCCTGTTGCATTATGAGAACTTCTAATATTTAAAAGGGAAGTAAGGAAAGATTTTAAGTTAGTCCTAACTCATTAGTGATCAAAATTTCTAATTAATCGCCTGACTTATTTTTTACAGTAGTTGAGAGATCAGAATGGATTTTCCTTCAGCTGTCTAGAAATGTGTACTTTTGAGCTGGAAGCAAACCCCATCTCTTTCTATTTCAAGTGAGAAGCATCTAAAAATGAAGGTGGGGAGAAGGATAAGGGAGGTTTACTGTAATGCAAGTAAAAGCCTTACTTTAAATGTAGATAGCAGTACAAACCAAGTTATGGTTATAATACTGCATTCTATTATTCTACTAAGAAAGGAAGATGTGTATGAACTAGCACCATAGTAACTCTTAACAGACTTAAGAATGCAATGATTAATTACTGTCATTCAAAAGATGTACCAAGGGACAATGCTGATTTACTTTGTCATGATTAAGAAGGTAAGTGATAAAGAAGAATTTTTAAAAATATTCTGCAGAAATGGAAATCAGCAGATCGGCAGATGCAGTCAAATCAAAATACTGGCGATCTGCTTGCTGGCATCACCTTGTACATCTGGGATTGTAAATGGCTAGATTTGATTACTCTCTTTCTCCCCAGTATTTTAAGAAAACAAAATGCTTAGGGGGTATTCCCATTAGACTAATCAAGTGGATTTCTTTCCTTTTGCAGTAGTATTTTTATATATTGGTCTACCTAGTTTCTGCTTCAGGAGTAACAATCACAGTTTAGGACAATGGAAGCTGTGTGAAGATGCGTAGCGGTGGGTGCTGCTGTTTTAAACTCTCCATCTCCCACATAACAAAAAACCACCTACCCATAAAAAAGGTGGTGGAGAAGCCATTAGGCAGCTACATCCTTCCTAAGCATATAGAAGAGATGGGAAGAAAGAGCAATCCATTGAGTATAACACAGGAAACAAAATGTACTTTCTACATAAGAGGAGGGACTGCTGGAAGGGAGAGCTACCTTTATACACCAATTTATTCCTTTTCAAGAAAAAAAGTGAGCAACAGGGGCAGTTATTATTATTCTTTACCAAACCTTTGCAGTTGCAAGAGCATCTTCCGTTTTTTCTGGTTTAGTAGCTTTCCCCATTCCAGCTGAGTAACAGGGCTGGGGAATGACAGGGGATGGAATCTATTCATGAAAGAAAAGATGGTCACTCCGTGGCTGTGGTTAAGAGCCTCATTTCTGTCTGCCACCAAATTTGTTTCATAAAGTATTTGTGCATCCTTTCATTTGGTTGCCAGCCTTAGTTTCTTCTGTGTCAAAGTCTGGCTGCCCCTGGTGTACGGGTCCCTAAATGGGCTAAAGGAATTTTTTAAACACTGATAACTAACTCACGTTGGTCTTCACTGTCAGAAAGCAGAGACTTGAATGCGCCGTAGTTTAATTGTAGCAGTTGTGGTAAAAGTCTAGTAAAATTCCCATGTCCTTATGTAGTCTTTCTCAGAAATGTAATTAAATATAATATTGTAGTGTTCATGAAAGGTATTCTTACCTTGCCTGATTTGAGGATACTGTGTTTCTAAAATGATGCTTTAATCATAAAATTACATTCCCAATAAAAATCCATCCCGAACTGATAGTTCCCTCATGATCTCTTGTATTTACATTTACTATAATTAATACTTCAGCCAGCTTATTCCTGAGTTCGTTATTATCCTTTCTGTCACAATCTCTGGTATTACTAGGTCCTCACAGATAACTCTGTGTATTTTTGAGTCTTCTTTGTTAGTCTTCTCTTCCTAAACTTCATAGGGCAGGCCTGAATAACAGTCCTTCAGAAATAATCTCTTCAAACCCCTAAATTATGTCGATTGCCATCTGCTGTAATGCACTTTTGGTCTCAGCTGTGTCCTTCCTTTACAGTAACATGATTAGTACAAGTGCATACAAGTTTCCAAATGTTGGTCTATCATTTCCCTCACCAGGTGCCAGGAAAATGTTACACCCCTCATCCCAATGCCTTTCTCAGGACTTCAGCCTTGCTACATTTAAGCCATGGTGTCTTCTCTGCCTTGGCTCTTGATCCAGGTCGTTCATCTAAGGATTTCAAAGCACCTTTCTAGCCTTAATTAATTATGTTTCTGTGCTTACCTGTCATCACCTCTGTGAGATAACCGCAGTAATTATTAACACTAATAGTTTTATCTGACGTAATTTATTATAATTCCCTATACTGTTTCTCTGTGAACAGGCTTTACAACAGCCTTAATATAACTGGTCTAAAGTTTAGCATTGTAGCTCAGACTTGGGAAGCAGGAAAAACAAAATTTTCTTGAAGAAAACTTATCTGCAGTCCATGTGATTTCATTTTAAAACTGACAATCCTATAGCCTTTACTTCAGCAATGTAGCCTGAGGCCTGCCATTCTTGTCTTTTCAAGTATTCTTCAGTTTTTCTTTGTCCAACTTTACCTTTTCCTTCTTTTTAGTATTCTACCTTTCCAGATTTTTTGGTTTTCTTTGTTATTGCTGGATGTGGTTTGGGGTGGTTGCTTTATGAAACATTTCTGTTATTTAGTTACTCCTTTGGTAGCGCGAAAACATTTTTGTTTGTACACTTATTCATTAAAGTACATCCTGCATAACCACTTTATTTCCTACCTCCAACAGTCAAGAAGCAGAATGCACAGGTGAGAGTTGCTTCAGAATAGTTACAGACTGTAAATATTTACATTTTCCTGGATTATACACAGGTAACAGGATTTTCCCAGAACCTTTTTTCCATTATTCTCACACTAGGTCCACTTCATTCTATTTCACTTAAGGGATATTTGCCCTGCCAGAGTGTCAGATTATTTCATAATTGTAAAGTTTATTTCAGACAGCGACTAAAGACAGTGAAATCCTTAATTGTGTTGCATCACAAAAGATGCCAGTAAGATATATTGGAGTTTAACATGCTGGTTTTGATGTCAATTATGATATATTGTAATAAACTTGTCATTAAAATGCCAATCATTTTTCAAATGTTCATGACATATCGAACCTTCGTGTATATGCTTCTTCTCACATGCTCTTCCGGTTTAGAACTAGAAATTTTATAAGCTTCCTTAACATCCTGTAGCTCCTGTACTCTTCCTTTGCCCAACTTTTATCTTGAGAAAAATGAAGAGCAGGCCTGAGCACTATTTGTGAAATTGCAGGGCAGACTAATGATCCAGTTACAGCTGCCAACCTAGCCTAGATTAAAAAAATGGGAGCATGTCATATAAAGTGTTTTTTATCTATGGAGATTTGATCTTTGGTGCTTTTTCTTTCCAGTACCTGAATCAAATTAATCAATAGATAACTGTTTGCAACAGTTTTAGTTTTAAATGAGTTAGTGTTTTGAGGGGAGAAGTTTCTACTTGGATTCTTTGATCACGCTCCTTTTCTGAGTGTTCCTAGCAAGTTTTAGTTTCTTCGGTGAAGGACTGAAAGTCGGTGGAGCACAGTCTTGGAGTTAAGTTACTTTTGGGATGCTGTGCCACCTGCGACCAGAATGGTCTTCTGGGCTGCTGGGTTTGGCAGTAGGAGTCTGTATGCAGGGAGGAGAGGGTAGATCTTTGCTTCAGATTGCCTTTCATTCTGTCTCATTCTGCTTCAACTCAACTTGTTTTCATGACATGGAGGAGCAAAGGAACCTAACTCTTTAGGCAGGAACATACTCATATGGTACATCATTTTATTTTGATTAGATTCTTCAAGTAATTCATTTTCAGTGGATTGACCGTTTGTAAGAAGTTGACGATTAAAACAATCTGTCATTGTATTTCATTCTGGCAGATCTCTAGTTTTCATAATATTAAAAGGGAGTACTTATTTAAATATAACTGGTGATATCATCATATCGATGTAGCAGACTGATGTGTATTAAAGAATATGGTTCAGAATTTTGGTTGCAAAACAAATGTAATGAGTCTTTCGAAGTGTTCTTACTCTAGCATCACCCACAATTCACAGAGCGGTGGGAAAGCAGACAAGGGAGGTGCTGCTTTACCTAAAAGCATTTCTAGAAGACCAGTGACGGAGATTCTGTGCACTGTATTGTTTACTTTCGCTGTATTTCTTCATTTTCAGCTTTCCTGAAATGCAGTATTTCCAGCAAGAGAATGTGAGGAAAATTCTTACAGATGTTCTGTTCTGCTACGCCAGAGAAAATGAGCAGTTGCTTTATAAACAGGTAATGAAAATACTGTACAGGTGGCATTCATTGACTCAACATTTTCTGTTCGGTTTGACAATAATGTAGTTCTGTTGTATCTGAAGTTGTATCATAATGCTAAAGTAATCAAAGAGCTCCTTGTCAGCTGGATAGTAAGAAAAGTAAGCTCACTGAATAACATAATGCTTTTTCCTCATAACACAGTCCCTCAAATTGTTTTTTTTAAGGTTGCTAAGTTGTCTAACTTCAAATTTCTTTATAAACAACATCATCTTCAGTGTTGATTAAGAAAGAAAAAAAAAAGGCTTTCTCTGCGTAGCTGAAGAAGAAAGTATGCAGCAGGATTAAAAATGGTACTGAATAAACAAAAAACGTAAATAGTGACTTCTGAAATTTAGGCGAAGTTTACTATTTTAAGTTTTACGTAATATTTTAAGTTGTTCCTCAAAGTGCTAAAGCCATGTGGTACGGTAGCGAATAGATCCTTTATCTAAGCCAAATACAACGCAGCTGACAAATGCCTCTTGACTGAAGGATAAGGGTGCTACAAATACCACTTTTACAGTGTTGCCTGAAGAAGAGCCTGCTCAAATCATTTTTGTTAAAAAAGATAAAGAAAGCCTTAAAGCTGCACTAACTATGCATCCATATGGGATGCAGGCTAAATTAATTTAACATTCGTTCTGAAGGTCTTGAAGTTAGTATAAACTTGATACCACATTAACATAGCAAGACCAGTATGCAGAGTATCGACATAAGTATATTTGTATTTGTTTATTCAGGGTAGGGTGACTGTAAGGTGTCTAGGGACTAACAAACTGGGAGATACTCTGTGTGCATGGACAAAGGATACACTATACAGCAGCAAACTTCAGATAGAAAATTTTTCATTACAAAAATACATAGGTTCAGTAAACATGAAGATTTTTATAAGACACTGTATGCTTTCAGGCATGATCTGTGACCACCCTGTCCTCAAACCAGGAAATGAGTGGCATTTCATGAAAAAAATGACACATATGAGTTGAAGGAACAGTTACTTCTGAAGAACTGTCTTGCAGATGATACTAAAAATCAAATATATAGTTATCAAACATGGAATCTCTATCAGCTGGTTATTTCTCGTGTTTGACAGACTGTGAGCAAGGAATACTCTTGCATGAGAACAAGAAAAAATGAGATTTGTGAGCTGTATTTTGAAGGGCACTGCTAAAGAAAACACTTCAGCAGCATTCAGCCTCCCCTTTCTAGTGAACATAGACCAGAGTACTGATGATGGGAAAATGGAAGAACACATTCTGTCTAATTTAGTCTATCATTTAGAGAACAAGAAGTATTATTTTACTCTTTGATATGACTTAAAAGGACTTAATTACCCTCTGCTCATATTTAAAATCCTCTTGATTCCTTACCGAGAAATAATACCTTTCTACATAAGGATGGAATATTTAGCCGGATCAAATTTGAAAAAAAAAAAGCCCTGAGTTTCATCACAAGCTGTTAAAGCTATTATTTTCTACTAGGTGACACCCCGTTTAACATAGACCATATTGTTAATAGTTATGGGATTTTATTGAATTAATGAGACTGTTATCATGTAGTAGAATGTCTTGCTGAGTTAATTGAAACTGCAGAGATTATATAAATGGTATTAATGAACTTTGACTGCCTGATGCCTCAGCTTTAATAAAGACTGCTTGGTGGGCTAAATGAACATAGGCAGATAAAAGAACAGGTTCAATTTTGCGAGCCTACAGGCTGTTGACAAAGAAAACTTCTTTACCTCCGTTTTCAACTGGTGTACATCAGTAGTGCAGTAATTCCAGGAAGGGGTTGCCACAGGACTCAGGGGAGAGGTGAAGTGCAGAAAATGAAATAAATTTGGATCAAGAAAAACTGTTGATTTAATCTCTCACAAGTGTGTTCAGCATATCACCCAAGTCTCATGGTGCTGTGCCAAGTCCACAAAATAGCAAATGATTGTGGTTTTCCTCTCTTCTTGTGGACATGTGTCACTTTTATTAGGAGCTTTTCTTTTTTCTTACTTCATTTTAAAAGGATGGTTTTGTTTGTTGTTTTTTTAAATTAATGCTCCTGTCAGCTTATTAGTAACAATCCTGCTTTTTTGTTCTCATGTCCCTCTCTTTTTAGGTAACATTTCTTTCATGTCTATCAGTACCCTTCTCTGAATTAGCTAATAGGAAAAGAGAGTATGTTTTTTTTTCCCTCTTTTAGCAAATACCTATGTCGCAGTCAAATTTTCCTGTCCTATTTTTATTCGTTCTGTTTTTACCATTCACTCAAGCCCCACTTCCCATAATAATTCCCACTACATCAAAACCTAGCATATTTTCTTGAAAATAATGAAGATTACCATTAATTCATCAATAACAGATCACTCCAAGCTGCTCTCTCCACAGTGACCTGAATACAAAGCCCAAATTAAGGAATTTGTCTTAATATTCAGTATCCATCATGGGTCTGGTCCTGTTGTTCTCTATGAGAATTCCCTTGTCTCGTTTGTATGACCACATACAAGAGCTACGTTTGCTATTAGAATTATAACACTTGGTCAATAAGTGAAAACTTCTGCTTCTGTCTGTGAGCATCTGTACAGGACCAATGTTTCTCTTTCAAAATATTTGGAAAAAGTTATAGTTCCTTGACAATTTGCATACTTATTAATGTAAATAAAGTGTATCTGAAGTTTACAACATTTTATTTAAACTATTACTTAGCATCAGCACATAGTCTTACAAGAAGCAGTCAATAATGTTTGTTTAATATGCATATATGCATGAAAGTTGTCTTTGTAGTAGGGTTTGTGGGTTTTTGACCTATGTGAAATAACATGTTATTTGATGAGGAAAAAGATATTTCTGTCCCTAGTCAAATGGGGTAGAATGTTGTAAAGCTGTATTACAGACTTTAAAGACAGAATCCTCACTGGGATCATTGAATTTTTGAATAGCAGCAGTAAATATAAAATCTAAAGAGAACAGTATATTGTACTTAAGAATATGTAAAAATTACTCTTAGCATTCTTCTGTAAGACTGCTGCCAAAATTCCGGTCCTAGTTACACGGAAAAGAAATAGTGACAATTAAGCTAAATCACTAGGCTAACTATTGTTCGCTCGTGATTTGATTGCCCTTAGAGAAATCAATATAATTTTGAAATGCATTGATTCACTTTTCATTGTAGTAATGCTGTATTTCTGGTTTTCTTTCTAAGCTGTAGACTGTGTTCTGAAATCAATATTTTGTTGTAGCTGGGAAGTGTCATAAAATTATCTGAGCTCTGTCAACTTATTTATTAACACTAAAGAGTTTTAGTAAACTGCAGCATTGAAAAAATATGTGTATGCATATTACACTGGTGGCTTTTCTTGCCAAGCTAAAAATCTCTAAACATTTGAAGTACTCTTGTAACTGAAAGATCAGAGGTATCTTTTTGAAATCCTGATATTTCATCATCTGTTTGTTTTGTTTTTGTTGTATGTGGGCAGTCACATTATGATTCTACTTTATTATAAAGTTGATATATTATTATGTTGGAAGAATGTATGATGTGCTTTTATCTTTTATAACTAATTCTTATTTTATGTCCTCTTTCTTTTTCTTCAGCTTATATGTTTACAGCTTAGGTGGTAGTTTCATTAGATAGTCAAGTTTTTGGCATTTCCATTTCTCTTATTTCATGTTAGTATATCAGGGCGAATAAAAGATTAGACATGGAGCTCTTAATTAACCTAGGGCTGTGAGTATGTATGAAAGTACAGCCCAGGCTATCTACAGTTTATTTAAATATTTTTGCCACTTATATTTATTGTCTAATCCTGGACCTATCTCCCTGTCTCTCCTGTTCCTTTCCCTCTTGGTATGACCATAAGACTTTCAGAAATCTAAACTTGTCAATTTGTAATCTAACCCATATTGTGTTTGGGAATTTTACATCAGCTCCTGAAATCAAGTGGCTACATTGGCTTTAACCTTTTTTTTCCTAACTGAATTTCTATTTAGCCTTCATCTTTTGAAGTAGTCCCTAAAGTCTCAGAAATAGGAAGAGAAGGAAAATGTCTGAACTTCAGTAGTTTTGCTGTCTTTAGCTTTGTCTAGTCAACTGATTGCTATTGCTGCAACCCTACAGTTGAGGCTATAACAGTCATCTCAGTCCTGAAGAAATTAAAAATAAATTTCCTAGGATGTCAGTTGATAGCACACAAAGAAATTTCCAAACCTGTTTTTTTTTCCTTCAACACTGCTAGGTATTAGAATTTCCTCTTACAAACTGATAAGATTAACTAACATACATCCAAGCACACTCAAAATAGATAATGATCTAGAGAGGGCTTCCACATCTACCTCTCTGCTCAGTTTGGACCACTTAAGGAAAATCCCTATTATTTCCAATGGAAGTTAAAGTTTTTAGTAGTTAATGGATCTGTTTGATACATATGAAGCTGATAAGCTAACTGACGAATATTGAATACTCTTCAAATGCTACATGGAATATCCACTGATGTAGCAGCAGAGCAGCGGGGTAGCTGCACAAGCGTGTAACTCTCATTGTTCACATCTGTCCGTCACTGAAAGGGCTGGAAAAGTAAGTGGAGAAACTTCCTAGCTTGGAACTGCAAGCATAAAGTAGAACAGCTCCTGTATGAAGACCCATCATCTGACTCCTGACAGCAGCCTGAAACACCTATGAGCTTGATGAGCCAGCCCCAGTGCTCTTTCTGCCAACAGGATAGACAAGATGGTCTTCCTGGCACCCCTGTCTGCCCAGAGCACTTACCTGGAGTTGGGACTGAGGCTGCACTTGGTGAAGTAGTTGCACCTTTGAACTGGCACCACACTCTTCCTCCTACAGCCGGGCAAGGACTCTACCCAGAGTGAGACCCAGCAAGGGTAGCCTGGGTGCCCGGCACCAAGCCCCGGCTGTAGCTTGTGTTTTTGGGCTGAGGTCAGGAGTTCCCTCCCCTTGGAGTGATCCTTATGTCCAGAGGCAGCCAGACAGGTCTCAATCCTTCATCTCACATCCCTTCCATCACTGAAGGGCTCCCTTCACTTCTTTTGTACAGCTGATCCCCGCCCCAACCTGTAGCTTGCATAGTTCCTGCCTGCCATCCCAGTACACCACTGGAAGCCCAATTCCCCTGACATAACCAAATTGCCCAGTTACGATACCCCAAATCCTCCTTTTCCCTGATCTAATCTGAGTGAAGGGGCTGAATATCTGCTGAAGATGAGGTTTCGTTCTGCAGGCTATAGTTTTACCTGTCCATGTGTTGCTGCTTGCCAGCTGGATTGCTTGTTTCCTGAAGTGGTTGCTTCTGCTTCTGATAACAAATTGACAAGCCCCAGGTGAATCCAGGCAAATTAAGACTCCTGTTTTGTTCCTGGTGAGCTCTGGTTAAAAGCACCCATGGTTGGCCTAGGTGGCCCAGCCATGCTTCTAATGCTGGTCCAAGTCCTCAACCATCCACCAATTTTTTTTTCTCTTCCAATCCTGCATGTTTCTATTTTTTTTCTGTATGTAAATATAAATTGCATATTTAAGTAATAGTTTGTAATGGAACAGTATCAGGTGTCCTCTGCATTGTGTTATAATGAGTTTATTTTTAATATGACATAATGACTTTTTTAAAAAAAAAGGGCAAAAAACCCATTTTATTTCTCATGTCCATAGGAATGTAAGTTTCCTTTTCTGATTACTCAAATAGCTGCCCTTGTCTTCTCTAAAGGCTACTGCTATGCTGGTTTTGGAACATTATCAAATAAAAAATATTTTTAAATTTTGTAATTCATCCCAGTTGCAGATCTTTGTACTGTGGATCATGCTTGTAATTATTGTAAATAAAATTCATGTTTATGAACATAGATCTTGGAGTAAACTGCCAGGTGCAGAGTTGACTACCATTGCCAATTTGTTGTCTGTTGTGTTACAAAAAGGGAGAATAACTTGCTTCCATGTATTGTAGAAGAATAAACACTTGGATTTAGTCAGAATTTAAGATAAAAGCTATTGATTATGAAACTGTTCTGTTAAGAATGCAAATGTTCCTGCTTTTAGTTAGTCTGCACCTATTATTGTTGTCTCCCTGACGCTATATATTATGAACTATTATATGACTGGAAAATCTTACTCTACTTTTGCTTCCTTTCATGTTTAGGGTATGCATGAACTTTTAGCTCCCATTGTTTTTATCCTGCATTGTGACCACCAAGCTTTTTCACATGCCAGTGAAGCTGCACAACCAAGGCAAGCATTGTGTTTTATTCGTATAGTATTAGAAATCTGCCTTCTTAAAAAAATAAATGAAGCTGGCCGGGCTAGAACTTATAAATATGTGTTCCTTAATTCTTTGTTTATAGTTGATAAATTGATATCAGAAATGGTTGCATCCTCATGCTGTTAAGGGAATGTCCTTATTTCATCTTCCCTACTGCAGCTTCTGAAAGGGGGATTAAAAGTATAGACATTGTCCCCCTCACAGATATAAGCTGGTGAAAAAAGGGGAGACAAGAAACCCGAGGAAAACCTTAATCAAAGAGCTTACATACCTACCTACTGTTTCACCTCATTCTTATTGCTAAAAATGGTTTAGTTTTTGTTGTTGCGGAGAGGAGGCAGATTTAGAGAACTACAGTCATAGACCAGACGTTACCAACTCTCTTTCCTCATATCTTAAAAGAGAAAAAAATCGGTGCAGACAAATCATTGTGATTGATACTTCTTTCATCACCTGCAATGTTGTAGCTGCAGTATCTGACTATCCTTTGACTTGGTAGTAACAATATGTTTAGCTATTGATTCTCCATTTCACTCAAACTGTGTGTGTGTGTATGCATGTAATCATACACATATGTATAAAATACTAGATCACACATGATTGTCTGTCAGCCAGATTCAGATGCGTTTTTTCTTGCCCTATATGTAAAGCTATTTTTTTTAAAAAAAAGAAACTACTTGCCTTCTTGTGTCACTTGTGGTATTTAGGTCATTTGTTTTAATTTGTCTTTTACACTCTCTTTTGGAATCCAGCAGTGAATAAAAGCCAATTTAATTATGTGTACTATGTAATATAACTTCTGTTAGCACCCCTCAACCTGATTGTCCGAAGGCAGTTAAGCGTAAGGATGGAGATTATTTACAAGGGTGTGTTTATTCAATGTCTGTCCTTAGATGTCCTGAAATTACCTAGAAGATGCTCTTCAGTGCTAAGTAACTTAAAATAACCATGTGTTATGCACAGCATTCTGTTCCATCCCCACTGAAAAAGTAGAGCTAAGCAGCAAAGTAGATGGAAAAGAGGTGCTGTCACTGATTAATTGCTGTTAAAGTACAATAAAAATACAGGCTATTAAAACAAAATAAATTAATGTTTTGATACTGCATATTTGACCAGTAACCATATTTTTTTTGTTTGGGACAAACAGTGATAGATTGTGCAGCAATCAATTATTCTAGATCAAGCATATTCAAATAATACATTGTGACATTCAGTAATTTGTTATTTGGAATAATTAGATGGTTACTTCATTGTAGTGCAGACAAGGCAGCTAATTTGTTTTTGATCTTTATAAAAAGGAAAGACTTCATTTGTTCAATGGAGTTGCTCTTTTTAATTAAAAAGGCTAGTTTTCTCATTTGCACTTTATATGAAAGTTGGCTTATAAATACATAATAGTACATGCAGAACACTGACCAAAAATAAACATTCACATTTGGATTGTTCACTGTTGCCTTTTTCAGCGAGGAAATGAAAGTTCTTTTGAATCCTGAATATCTGGAACATGATGCCTAGTAAGTTTTAACTACTTCCTTTACATTTAATTTGTTCTTATTTGTAATACATTATTTAACACCAAGTTTCTGGGTTTTTCCCCTTCAGTGCGATGTTCACACGTCTTATGAAAACTGCAGAACATTGGTTTTCAACTTTTGAACATGACACTCAAAAGGTAAATATTGCTTTAAAATGTATTTATTCTATTTTTAAGCAAATGTGATTTTTAATATAATTGAATTAATTTGAAGCTAATAAGGCGTCTTCTCTTAAACAACTTGGTTACTCATAGAATCATAGAATGGTTTGGTTGGAAGGGACCTTAAAGATCATCTCATTCCAACCTCCCTGTCATGGGCAGGGACACCTTCCACCAGACCAGGTTGCTCAAAGCCCCATCCAACCTGACTTTGAACACTTCCAGGGATGGGGCATCTGCAACTTCTCTGCGCAACCTGTGCCACTGCCTCAACACCCTCACTGTGAAGAATTTTTTCCTAATACCTGACCTAAATCTTCCCTCTTCCAGTTTAAAGCCATCGCCCCTTGTCCTATCACTACATGCCCCTGTAAAAAGTCCCTCCCCAGCTTTCTTGTAGGCCTCTTTAGGTACTGGAAGGCTGCTCTAAGGTCTCCCCGGAGCCTTCTCTTCTCCAGGCTGAACAACCCCAACTCTCTCAGCCTCTCTTCAGAGGAGAAGCGCTCCAGCCCCCAGATCATCTTCGTGGCCTCCTCTGGCAGGCTCAACCAAGTTGACATTACTTAGAGGTTTTTCAGAATTTGGTCATAAGCACTTGTGGAAAGTCTTCCAGTTGAGAGTTCCTATCTGTTGAAAGATCACTTGGTAATCAAAAACCAAGTGAGCGAACTCAGATTCTTCTATGTATGAGTGATGTTCTTGTGTAGCATTTGAAAGAATGCCTGTCATAGGCACATCTAGGTACCCAAAACCTGTGCAAATGTCATGTTAAATAAATGCATATGGGCACTGTTTAACGTATTGAGGCTTGAATTGATTTCGGCTTTTTACAGTATAAACAATTCACTGTGAAACCAAAACTTTAATCATAGACTGTCCATCAAAGGTCAGGGTACATCTTTCCCTGACTTCCTCACTCCACTTACTTTTTTTTCTTCTTGACCTCAGGGTATTCAAACAGAGGGAATGTCTGTGCCCTCAGGTCTCCTGTGTAGCTATACAGACACCGCTGTATTTAGTATCTTGCTTCTTTTCATAGAAAAGCTTTGTCTCTGTTGTGAGTTTAGTTCTACAGAGCTCCTCTTTGCAGGGACCTTCTAGGGACCATGTAGTCCTTGCCTGTAACCATTTTTCATGCATGGCATGAGGGACAATTCCCTCAGTCAATTGCTCAATATTTAATATGAATACTTTTTTCCTGTCTTTTTCCCTGTTTACATTTGTCTCTTTTTTTAATTCTGAAAAATTATTTGCGTGATGAAGTGTACATAGAATTCTCTAGCAAAACATAGCCATGTTACAGCTATTGCCAAGACTTTCAGTCTATTATGTCCTAAAAGAGTTGTCCTCCAAACTTAGTTCCAGCTTGGTTCATTTTTCACATAGACCATGGGGTGAGTATCTAGAGTTAACAAAAAATTGATAAGACTTTGGTTGGTTTTGCATGTCCACATGTGTGCACCAGAACCTGTATTTGCAAACTGTAATTAGAGAGTACTAGTTTGAGAGGTGATTTTGTCTGTGTGTTGAAGAAAATAATGTTCACCCAAGACTCACATAAAAGCTTCTATTTTCTTTAAATGTTTAAGTGTATTTATATATATATTTTCTAAAACATGGAGCATTGACATCTTGGCCTAAGCTATCTACAGCTATAAATCAGTATTGGGATTTGGGTTTTTACATAATTCTCAGTACCTAAGGATAATGCATATGAGATACAAATTTTATGAACTTACAACATAATCACTTTTATTTCAACAACAAAGCTGTGAAATGTTTTTCTCTGACTGTAGCTTTTCAGAATTCAGTGTATTCAAATGTATTGTTCCTATTTCTGTGACAGAGGTGGTAAAGTCTGAGGTTGAATTTTATTCCAGGAAATAGCTAGGTCTGCTTAGAGATTTGCAGTGCTTGGCTAGAAGGTGAAAGTTTACATTGCCCTTTCCAGTCCTTCCATGGCATAAAAAATTAACAATGCAAAGCGCATGGATTAATATCTAGTTGTTTGTTCTTGTTCTTTGCAAACACGTATAATCTTTAATAATCCTTTCTTGTACGTATGCCTTTTACAGTCATGACTTTGAGGGTTAGCTACATAATAAAGTCTGAATCTTCCCAAAGTAAGCAATGAAAGTGTGTGCTCTGAGAGACATGTTACATTTTATAGCCTCTAACAGTTGGTTCCATTACTCCCAATTGCCATTAGAGGAGCTTCTCCAGCTACTCCATTCCCTAGTGGTTAATGAGAGAAATCTGTCCACAGTTTATACTTGTACTATGTCCTAGCCTCCCTTTATTGCCGTAGCATTTGTTTCCTAAATGCGTGAATATATAAATTGTATTAGTTTCGACTGCCAGCCATTCCAGTTTGTGTTGTGGTAGATAATGTTTTGTGGTAGGATTTGGTGACTTTATTCCTAATACTTGATCTAAATTTTTCAGCTTCATTTCACTGGTATCTATATTTAAACTGTTCGTAAAGGTGAATCTGATGCTTGCTTGTAAACAGTATCGCACACCTCTGAGCCGTCCCTCTATTTGTCTGTTTATTGTGAACCGCATCCCTTTGGGACCGATCATTTATGTTTCATGCTCGCAGTAGATGACTAAACCCATGCACTCAAATTTTTTCCAAGACTTAGAAGCTCACAAAAAGAAACTGGGTGTTTTGTCTCATGTGGCAAGTTAATGTGTAGTGAGTATGGGCAGGAGCACAGTGTCATGTTGTCCACTTGGCTCCTGTGCTTTAGGCACAGGCACTGTGAGTCATTTCCAGTTAAACATTTTGGCAGCTTGGTTGTATTAGTTTATTTGAGCATCTTTCTGTTTGGGCTGTTTCTTTCACACCAGCTGATGTGAATTTTTGGAGCAATTTCAACTGACTAAATGTATTGTCATTTTCTCAACCAAATTGCGTGAGAGGAGACAACAGACATGTCATATGCACTCTAGTCATCCACTGAGCTTCTTGGTGGAGTGCACCAAATCGAGGGGCATGGACAGTCAAGGCATTGATCATTGATTGCAACTGCTGTCCCCACAGATTCTGTCATGCTTTGAAGATTTCTGTTAATGGGGTTAATTTCTGAGATGCTGATGAACTGCATTTTGATGGATACCGTTTACTTATCTCATGCTTTTCAATATGGCAAGCCAACGTATATTATTTGATGCACTTAGCCATGTTGACAGTCAGTCAGTCTGACAGTCAGCAATGTGTCAGTGCTGCATTATGCCAAGGTGCACAAATGCTGCAAGTGACAAATAACTCCAGTTTTGGCACTCCTCCGTAAGAGGAAGCTTGCATTAGTTTTGATATTCAGAATCTTTTGACACTTGAGCCAGTGTTTAAGAGTCTGTCTTCTAATTTTGTAAAGGTGGCTTTAAACCCACAGACAACTCAGATGTAAAGGCTAATCTGGGTAATTAGCTAGTCTTCTCATGTTACAAGTTCAAATAAGTAGAAAGATTCTAATACTAGATTTCTATACAAGAATAATATAATAAAGAAAAGCTTAAAAATACAGATCTTTTGAGTCATCAAAAGTGCATGCAGTGGTCAAAGTTAATCTCAACTTGAACAAACCAGAATAAAGTTCATACCCCAGATGTGTGCCAACTGGTGGAACATGCAGAGTCTTTGAATATGTAGAGTTACAGACTTTTATGATTAGTTTCAGAGATAAATTGCTATGTTTATGCAAAACATTACTATAGACTGGCATTTAACGTTAAGGCAATCTTATCATATAATTTAAGAGTGTTTTTCTGTGTAGATTAGAAGGAGATTAGAGGATACCCTTTTTCAGTATTTTGCATTCTAGCGTGTGACCAAGAAAATAATGAAATGGGTTTGAAAATAACAATAGGGAATAGCTGTACAATGGAGAAACAAAAATCAGGGTAAAAAGAAGGCTGCCCGATTTGGTAATAAAGAAGTTAATAGAATAATTAAAAAAGGAGATAGGAAAAATATCCTTTCTCAACATACCTGCAGCTGTGAAGAACTTTAATATTAAAGTAAGTATCAACATTTCTTTTTAGCCCCTAAGATGCTAGATGTTTTATTTTAAATTTCTGTTTGGTAGAACAGAAAAGATTTTAAATGAAAGGATGCCATTTCAGTGAGCTTTATTTGACAGTCTGAGGGAGCTTTTGTCAAGCGATTTGCTAGGGCATCTTAAATGAATATGTCTTGTTACCACAATTGCATGGCAAAACCACCGCACTGTAACAGTCAGACCGGTCCCTTTGCTGCAATTGCCATAGCAAAGCAACAATTAAGCAGATTTTAAGATACAATTTATAATCAATCAGATGCTGAAATAGAAACGTTTTACCTGAAATCGCTACTCAGCATCATATCATATTTTCTGCAATACGGAAATGGAATAATTAAGAAAGAATATTTCAAACAAAGGAGATCAACATAAAAAATAGACTTTTTGGTAGAAATTATTAAATGTTTGCTGCCAACTTGAATGTTAAACCATGTTGTAAATGATTGTGAAATATGGGTACTTCTCTTCCTTCCTCTTAAAATGCTGATACAGAGAGAACGGGGTTGAAGAAGGACTATAACCATAGGAAACAACTGTGAGGATAGTTTATACAAAAAAAAAAAAAAAACACAAACCTTTCTTTCTTATTGAATGTTAGAAATAATGTGCTTTTCAGTGTATTGAACCAAGTGAATTTGTCTTTCAACAGTTTAAGCTGTAATGAAGTCTTCTGAAATTATTAAACTTTTGACCTTGTTAATGCTTCTCTATCAATATACTGAGCAAAAGGGTAGAAAAACAATAACTATTTTTTAAAGTGAAGGTTTCAGGTCAGAGAGCCATGATGACAGATTGCAACAAAGTCATCACAAAAATCTTTGCTTCTTACTGTTCCAATTTTCCCTCTTTTATAACTTTAACATTGTTCTTGACAGCTTAATTCTCCATTTCCCTTTCCGCAATCTTTTGCTTGATGGGTTTGACTTGTTCTGTTTTATTTCTCGTCCTCCTTTTTACATGTTTCCTGTTCAGTGTGGTTCATTCTAACATTCTGTCTCTTTTTCAATAATACTTCACTCTTTTGCAGGAAGAACAAATTTCAAGTGGTATCAAGTTCCAAGAGTTTTCTTCCTTTCACTTGGTGTGTGTCATGTTCTAGATCATGACATAGTTTGCACAACCTTCAGGTCCAGCCAACTACCTTCTTAATCGTCAGGTTCATCTCACTGTTCCATTTCTTTTTTTTGTTTTAAAAGTTTTCTGATGCTTTATCAAAGTTGTATAGATTTTGAGTTGCAATGACCAGATTTTCTGACCAAGGCAAGCCTGTTTAGAAGGGATTGTTCGAAAATAAGGTATTTCCTATTTGGTACACAATTTATGGTCCTCTGAGGGCATATATTCTCTACTAAGTTACCATTCATCTGCTTTGCTCTGGGCTGACTCAGACTGCTGATATTAAAGCTAAAATAAAGCTGTCAGCACTTCATCAGAGCATGAAAAGTAAAGCATGCACATAAAAATTGACGTGCAGAACAAGGGATGAACCTTGGCACGCCTGGGAAGGGGAATCCCACAATACCTTCCACAGAAGTGGGTACTTGAGATTCCTCTTTTGATGGAAAAGAAATGAATTATTAATATTTTTATATTTATTTGGAAGCCAATGATTACAACAAAACAAGTCATTTGTAGACAATCCCTTTAGACAATAAGGCTTCATGGGATGTTCTCTTTTTTGTCCTGTTTTCTGTGTTTACAGGAGAAAGATGTGATGATGACACCTATGCCATTTGCAAGGCCACAGGATTTAGGCCCATCTATTGCTATTGTAGCAAAGGTAAACCAAATTCAAGATCATCTGCTGAAGAAACATGATATTGAGCTGTACATGCATCTCAACCGGCTGGAGATTGCTCCACAGATTTATGGACTGTAAGTGTTTGCAAAGCATTATTTAATTTAATTCCTTCTATTTTTATTTCATTATATTAGGACTTTTTTTTCCTTAAATTTAGGATTAGAGGAATGGGGCTAAAAGAAGTGCTTCTTATCTCTTTGAACTTATTAAATTGACAACATTTACAGAAAACGACACCCCACTGTTGTATTTGTGACAGTGGCATTCCCAGTGCAGATAAAGTTTGTTCAGCTACATATTCGAGAACTTGATAAAGACTCCCAAGTGCAGTGATAAAGCACGTACTGAATTGAGTACATATTCTACCTGTGGTTTTCCTATAAGAAGAAATGGGATAATGGGACACAAAGAAAGGGGGAAAGGGAAGATTACTAGCATTGAATGATTTATTTACTTAATTGTATCACCAGTTCGGTACCGGTGAACTTTCCCCTGTTGCAATAATGGGGTTTTGGTTACTGATAATACAGGTGTGGTGGGGCATGTTAACAGCTAAGGCATGGAGATAATAAAAGTGTCTGTATGCAGAATCAGCCCAAGTAGTCCTTTGTCCATTAAGATGGCTCAGATATGTTCAGCTGCTTGTGTCTGTGTGTCCCCCTTCCAGGGGGGCTTTTTGGGCCAGGTGCGACTTTGGGTGTGGACTTTTCCATGTATTTCCGCAGCATTGCATCCAAACTAGTTATTTATGGCTGCTATAGTCAGTCTGGGTCTATACAGAGTGTGCAACTTGGATGAATCATGAGTAACTGTGAATTGACTGGTTTTGAGGAAGAATTTTGCCTTCATTGTCTGGAATTCTAGACATTGGATTCATTTTGATCTTTCCTTAAAGAGTTGGCAAGCCATATGTGCAGTTGCAGTGACAGAAAAATGACACTTCTAATTTTTTTTTATTTTTTTTTTACTTTTTGCAATGATTTAAAATAAGGTTGGCTTTGCCAATGAAAAATGAAAAAAAAAGTTTCATTTATAGGTGTGAATTTCGAAATGTAATTGTGAATTACATTTAACAACTCAATAGAAAATGTAAAAAAGGAGTGAAAAGGTGACTGTGTAAATGTCAGACCATAACCGCAATACTTAACTTTAAAGTCTGATGTTATAGTATATACATAGTATAGCCTTAAGAGAAGAGTTTAGCTAAGTAGTAGTCCCAGACTTACATATAACATATATTAGGAAGATATATGTAATTCCACGAAACGTATTTAAATAATTTTGATAGGAATGGGTTACAGGGAGAGGAAGAATAAGTCAAGTAAACTGAAGGTATTAAAAGTTATGAGGAGGACAGATTGTCCTATTACAGTGTTTTTTGCATAGTGTAGAGTTGTGTATTTTCTTAATATCTTCACTAGTCTGGAAGAGAAAGAAAGCATCCCTAATAAACTTTAGGGGTAGTAATGAATAAGTAAGCAGTATAAATATCAAGGAAAACAGAAAGATAGTGTTTCTTTTTTATGAAGACTTATGAAAACATAGAGAAAATAAGATAAACCTCAGAAATTTGCAAACAGATATTTTGGGGCAAAAATAATTTGTACTGTAGGTATTCACTTCAGCATAAGATTTTGCCTTTCAGTAAGATAAATAATTGAAAGAAAAAATTAGACTTTACCTCAAAACATAGCATTATAATAACAGAAGAACAGTGCAGTCTGGTGTGGCATAAATGGAACTGAATCTGAATAAAGAAATTTACAGTTAAGAGAATGAATTATGAGAGAGAGCTTCAGGCTGACTATCAGGAAAACATTACTAACAGGGAGCTGTTAGACTGTAAAATAATATATCAAAATTAACAAAGGAAAAACCATCAGAATATTTTAAAGACAGGCTTTGAAAAGCTCTCAGAAATGGGTAGTGTCATAGAGAAAGAGTCTGCATTGGCAGAAGAGGAAAGTAGGTTGCCTGTGAGGTCATATCCTTCTCTGATTTCTGATTTAATATAAAGGACAGGAGAAAAAGAAAGGGAAAGGAACATGACTGTGTTGTATTATTCTCACCTTTAATGATGTCTGAACTCTTCAGAACAGTAATTTCCAGTAGTGAGCCAGCTGACAGTCTCAGATGCTGGATCTTTTTGCTGTATTTAACATTTCTTGAACTAGAAACAGCATTTCTTAAACATAATAGGTTGTTAATAATTGCTAAACCTAACTCAAGTGCAGAATTCATGTGAGCTTTTTGTTGAAGTTTATTTTTTTGCTGAAGTTTGTTGGATTTGCCGACAATAAATATTCATCTATCAGCCTTGATATCACTCAAAAAATGCACAAATGGTAGAAGGAAGCCTGGGAACTTCCCTCAAAAGGTATTACAGAGTTCCTGGTAAAAAGTAATCAACACGAAAGGCTTGCATTTAGTGGCAGTCTCCTCTAGTCTGAACAAGTCATACAGTTTACTTATTTAGAAATATAGTATTTTATATTTTGCATCCTTCTATAACCTTCTGGGGCAAGGTAGAAACAATTCTTACTTACTCTTTGTATTTTCATAAAGTTGATTTCAACCTTTGTTTACAAATAGTCCTTTTATTTTTTTCAAACACTAGGGAGACTTGTTCTGCTGGGAGGTCAGGTACCCTAGTCTGTTGTACATTTCCATGTTCAGAAACTGTCCTTTAAAATAAAATGTAGTTACACACTTCTTGAAATTATGCTTACCTGCTTACAAGACCACCTTCAACAGGCATTTTGGTACATGTGGTTGGACTCATTAATTTTGGTTGCTATCCAGTAGTGCAAACGTTGTATGTTGGTTTTGTGGAAAAGTATACTCATTATAGTGTTTATTATATCAATGTGAAAAACCTTCTTTTTTTTTCTTCATTAGTTAGTCCTCTGCAAACCATGGTGTCATTAGCATCAGCCTGGGGTGCCAGGCAGCATGCTGGGAGGTACTGCCAGTTTAGAGGAAATCTTTTCTCTGGGTAGTTTACATTTTGTGAAGTTTTAGCTCAAGGAGGTGGGTTTCTTTATCTTCTGGGGGGGCATCAGTGAACAGACTTTGCACTACCTGGCTATCTCATTTAACTGCTGATCAGAAGGAGAACACTGTTAGGTATAGCAAGGTATACTAGGGGCCTGGCTGTGCCCTACTTCTGTGCTCTGGTCATTCAAGTTGGTGTCATACACAGTAGCAGCCTTAGCACAGGAATTTCTGTATCTGGAAATTTTGTGAGACCGCACATTCATCCACTTGCAGTCAGCTGCTGCGTTCACTGTGATAATTACTCAGCTGCTGTTAATATCAGCCAAAATGGAACCAGCAATACAGAGATAAAGGCTTTGTGCTTTGTAATTCTTCAGTCTTTATTTGCCATGTCTCTAGCTTGTTTTTAGACCCCAAGACAATGTTTTGCGGAATAACATTGCTTCACGTTCCTGGTAGCACTGCGAGTTGCATACAGTCTAACCAAACTATAATAATTATCTAATCATATCTAATTTTGTACTTTGTAAAGTAAAGCATAGGAATGGTTTGAAAATAAAATGGAATTGATTACATTAACAGTACAGTAACATGCTTCCTGATAATAAACTATCTCTAAATAAAAATAAAAAAATGTTAAGATTGAACAAAAAGATTGGATACTCTGGAGGGTTGACAGATTGAATATTCAGTTTAATTGTAAAATTAGATGAGTTAACAATGATTAATGTCCCAGATTAAATGGTAGTCTCGTGTTAATTTCTTTGACCCTTACATCTAATTCATGTTAAAGTACAAAATAATTATTGCAAAGCCATTCTGCAGTTTCTGCAGTGGCCAGTGTTTGCAGTGGCAAATTAAGCAGATTGTACTCTCAGCTTGAGAAGGGACAAGGTTTGAGGAAAGTCTTCATATATCTGTATTTTAGGACATTTTTTTCCATTTATAGTAATTTGTAGTAGAGGACTTCTTTTTCATTTCATTGAAAAGATGAATCAATTGGAAAAGTCCGACATAATGTCATTATTACTACTTTATGTACTGAGGGTTTCAAAGTGAATTATATTTCATCGAATGAAATTCTCATAGAACTGCATGCAATAAGTACAGCCAGATCATGTAAATATATATGATATGGTTGTATAAAAATAATGCACACAAAGATAATGACAAGGCATAAGGGTAAAAAGCTTTATTTTGGAACAAAAATTAACTGTTGGCATAAAGTCACTAGCTTTTGCACCATAACACTGATGGCAGTATTATATTGGTTAAGCAAACTCTCAGACAATAAAGCGCATGCAAAAGTGAGCGTAAATATTTCATGATAGCTTAATCTCAGTACAAAAAAGCCCTTCTTAGAACATTCAATGCCAATGACTTTGCCTCCTGCTGCCATTCTGCTTTATGATGATCAATCAGATAGACATACTGCCTACTGCGGTTCAAGATGCAGTTTCAGCCCTTTAGGCTGATACCACAATTATACTTCAGGAAGAAGCCTATGTCATGAAGCAAAGGAATAAAAAAGAAGAGAAGGATGCAAACCAAGTTACAGGGTAACTAGGCACGAGTGTAGATTTGAAAATGGCATTAGAAGGGTTATGTTACAGCAAAGTCAACAGCAGATGTGCTGCTCCACTCTTACTATTCTTGGTTGCTTTGCTATGAGCACTGCTCTGCAGCATCCACCTGTTTTGGTTTCTCTCCTATACCATTATGGTACCAGGCAGTATTCTTTTCTGTAACCGCATTGGTCTCTGGAGGGAGAATTTAAAGGATTCTACCTGTGCGGTTAAAGGAACATGAATCATATTCATTGTATCCAGAATAAAAAAATAAAATAAAAAAAAAAAAACAAACACTAGTCGTCAGAATAAGAAATCTTCATGATCTCCAGAAAAAGATCAAAGCTCAGTTGTGCTGAGAAGAACTTTACAGATCATCTGGGATGCCTAGGTTTACTTTGGATTCTCACACTTCACTAAAAGAATTAGAGAAATAAGATATGGCATGGTCCAAACCAATTACAGTTCCTCTGTAGTTTTTAATCCAGTGTCATCAGTTAATTGGACAGCAGT